GAGGCCATGTAATTCATATTGATTCGCAGATATTTTTGCTGAGCTATGAAAGGAACTTCACTAGCTGGAGGTGAGCATATAGGGAAATCCTTAAAGTTCAAGGGAATAGAGATTTACTGCCCTACTTCCCCCCACCCCGCCCCCCGGAGAGAAGGGATTCACAGTCGTTTTTAAAATTAATTACTCTTGATTTGCCTCAATTCCCTTTTTTTCTGGAGCCAGCTGTGTAAGTGCAGTATAAAATACACGCCGAATGTCCTCTGAATATGGATGAATGGAATAAAGAGAAATGCAATTCTGCAGCCCTTTTTCAGTCTTTGCTGCCTTGTTTGGTGGCTACCGGGAAGGTTGAGGGAGAGGAGGAGAAATGAGAAAGCAGATGAGAAGTTGGGTGTTGTAGATCCTTGGCCTCCCCACCCTCCCTGTCTTGCCTGTTACTTCACTGCTGAAGTCCCCCCCCCACTCCCCCGCGCGCGTCCCACACCCCCCACAACGCAGCAGATACTAAACATGGATTTTGTCCTGTGTTTTCTTTGAGATTCACAATGTTGAAAGCCCTTTTTCTAACTATGCTGACTCTGGCGCTGGTCGAATCACAGGACACCGAAGAAACCATCACATACACGGTAAGGGGGAGATGGAATTTGAGATAAGAATGTTCAGTGGGATTCTATGACACAAGAAAGATTTTACCCACCCCTGCCAGTGAATGCTGGCTGTATTCTGTGACGGGTAATAAATTAAACACCACTTTAGTATGGTTCACATTTTAGATTTGTTGTAAATTGCCCAGAATCCTTTTAAAAGTTCATTTAGATCACCAATTGAGATAAAGACCAAAAAAAATGTAATGATTTGTATGAGAACAAAAGAAAGGAAACCCATGTAAAATTAAAATCAAAGTAAGCCACATGTTTCCAACACATTTAATAAATTAATGGATGTAAGAAATTAGGAAACTTGGATTCCTACATACATGCAAATGAGATCAATAAGTGCAGAATAACAGCAAGTCAAATAAGAATGTCAAGCATGATATAAGCACAACATCCCATTTGTGCATGTGACTTTTGTCATGGAAGCAGCCTTTATTAAATTTATAAAGGCTATATATTCACTTATAGTATAACTCACATAAGTACCCTACAGGATTCAGTATTGGCTAAAGCAGATTTAAAATGCAGTTTGTGCAACTCTGTTTTGCATTTTTTATTAGTATCTCTGATATTTCCAAATAGTGTTTGATTAACTAGTTAATGCATGAATATAACCAATATATAATGAAATGTTAAAAATATCATCTGACCACTCCCACTGCCAAAAATAGATGTGGTTAGAACAGAACAAGACAGGACTTACCTCACTTGTGGTGAGTTTGCATCTCTGTTTTGTGTTTTCTAGTTTTTTGTCTATTGTGAAGTGAATGACATTTGTCCTGGTTCAGAATATGAAAAACACATTTTTCTATTTGCTCCCAATTTTAAAAATTAAGTAATCATACTCAAAAGAATGCAAAAGAAAATTTTTTAAGTTTAAAAGTGATTTTATGTCAATTATTGATAATAAACATTATCTCACTATTTTTTAAACCCCAGAATGTTAGTATTCATCTGGCAAATGTTTCTTTTTGTTGTTCAGATCAATTATAAATAAAAAAGTATAATATAAATATTTTGTTAACTTGATGTTAAATGCAGTTGCTTCCTCTGCTGAAGATAAATAAAGCAAGAGAAATTAATGCATGTGCTGTTTATCTTCAAATGAAAATGTTTTATTATTCTGGTTAAACTTACTACCTTCTCAGGGAACTAAAATTTTATTTGTTTTTCCCTTTTGTAATCACATAATAAAAGACTTTATTGACTTTACAATTGCTTACTTTATGCCCTTCTGTTTGCTAATAACCTAAATCTAACTTATTTTTAGTAGAGAAAGTTTCCTGTAGATTAAACACTGTAGTTTTAAGACTACTAACCAGGGTTCACTATTATTCTAATAGATTTTCCAGATATGATGCCCTTTTTGTGCTAAGATTAGGTCTCTTCTCTTTTGAATTGTGTATGCCTAATAATCCATAGTTAAAGGACATAAAGGACAAGAGGTACCTATTCTCAAGTACTCCACTATGGAGACTGTATCTCCTTTCATCATCACAGCAAATTAAGAGGTAAGTGGCATCATGCTCCTCCTGTTGATGGCGGAACTGAAGACCAGAAGGAGTGTCTACCTTGCACATGACTACACAGCCAGCAAGTGGTAAAACTAAATTCAGTCTAGGCTTGTTTAATAATAGGTCCAAAATATTCTAGAACTAAATAGCTACAACCAACTGCAAGTCTTCACTACTTACCATACAGATTATTCAAGTGAACTGCCATCTTTGCCTGGTTTGAAAGATACTTTTTGGAAGGTTGGGCTTATACAAGACAGCCTCATATTCCCCTTCCATATTGAAGGCTGTTTTTAGGCAGCTACTGACTCAACAAATATCTGCATAAGCATCTCTCATCACTATCCAAAGAATTTAAGTGGCCAGCAAGATGGCATATGCTTGTAATTCCAGCATTTTGGAAGGCTGAGTTGGACCATTACAAGTTCCAGGCCAGCCTCAGCAATTTAGCAGGGCCCTCAGTAACTTAGCAAGATCCTGTCCCAAAATTAAAAAATAAAAAGGGCTGGGGATGTAGCTCAATGGTAAAGTACCTCTGGGTTCAATACCCAGTATCAAAAAAAATAATAATAATAATTTTAAAAACTTTATTTGTTTACTAAGAAAATTCAGCCTTCTATCTCAGGGAATTTACCCTAGGAAGGTATCGTTGAAAACTAAAAAAGTTTCTAAGTAACTGCAAATAATATTATTCAGATTATATAAATTGCTAAAGAAACAGAAAAGCAAAGAGTTGATTAATGTCAGTGCTGGCCAACATAGTAAAGAAGATAGAACTTTCGGCTGGTTCTTGAAGAAGTTATGACCTCAGATTGATCTAGAAAGGCTAAAGACGTACTTGAATCAGAGAGTGTGACATCACCATTTATTGGGGATGAAATGGCCAAGACAAAGCCAGGAGGGCAGATGGGCTGGAGCTGGGGGTGGAGAGAACCTGGAGATGGTAATAATGAGCTATGAGAGGTGTGCAGCCCACTGTGAGCTCTTAGAAATCAATAGAGCAAAAATGATTATCATAGGGGCTACTACAGAATGTCAGATCAAGAGCCTTGTGGCCTCAGGAAGCCAGGGAAGGTAGTAGGTAGAAATGTGGCTACTGTGGTTGATATAGAATCAGACTCAAGTAGGCAGAGCCCGAAGGAAAACAATTAGAGAAGTCAAAGCTCATGTTCATGGGTCTTGAAAAAGGTGGTGGTGGTACCTTGGAAGCGTTGGGGAAAATAGAAAAAAAAATTAGTCTGGGAAATAACATAAGTTTAGTTATCATCCTGGTAAATTTCAGATGTCAGTTAAATAGTTCAAAGGATATCTCTGCCTCCATTCAGCTAGTTATTGCTGTACATCCTTTGTTGAATGAGGAACTCTTGGTTCTGTTAAAAGGATCTAGTTTGTTTGTTTACTCCATTTTTGCATAATCCTTCCTGAAGCATCTTCCTCACCATGTCTTTCTCAAGCAAACATCTGATCAAATTGTCTCTGGAGCTTTAAAATTCTACAGGGGACTCTTAGCACCTACAGTAACTTTTCTTAAGATGTAGCCCATAGATGACCTATTTGGGAATCACCTGGGATATTTATTAGAAATTCAGATTCCAGGCCTCTGGCCCTGACCTATAGAATCTGATCCTTTGTTTGGGAGCACATCAGAATTCACATTTTAAAAAGCACCCTAGATAATTCATCCTAAGGCATAATAAAGCTTGAGATTCAGGGACCTTCTGGGTAGAATCTAGTTCCCTCCATCCCTACATTTGGCCCTGCCCACCTCTCTAACCTCACTCCTCCACCCAGAACTACTTGAAATCCTTTCCCTTTGACAGTTCTGTGCCTTGGCTCACAATGGTCTTCCTTCTTAAAATAGCCACATTTCCCTGGGAAAATCCTGCTCATTCCATAAAGTCCAATTCACTTGTCACCTCCCCTTTGAAGCCTTTTCTTCTGCCTTGTTCATACCCACCCCTCAGCCCAGGGCAGAGTGCCTCCGCCCTTCCACATACACCCTTGTGTCACACCACTGACATCTTGCTCCAACTTGTCCAACTACCTGTCTCCTCTTCTGGCCCATGAGCTGCTTGAGGATTGGGGCAAGGTCTTCATGATCTTTGCATCCACAGGGCCTAGGACAATCCCTACGTGCTTGATAGATGGCTTGTTCAGGGAGTGAACAAGAGAGAACCCATAAGAAGTAAAGTGAAGTGGAAGGCCGGGTGTGAGAAGCAGCTAATCATGGTGAGCAAAGCCAGGAGCTTGATTGCTCAGGATGATTTAGAGAGAAGGAAGATGTCAGGGCTGGGGGAAGGAAGAACCTGGTGAATGTTTTGTCTTTTTTGGTAAAATTTACAATGTGGGAAAGGGGATGAATAATAGTATAGTCAGAGAGACTGAAGAAGATTAATCTCAAGACAAAGAAAAGGATTCAAGAAAGATGGTGATGGGCAACTGTACCAAACCCAAGAGTTCATAAGGCGGCTGATTGAGAAGGGAACCCTGAAGCAAACTAATGCATAGACTTGTCTTTAAAACGAGGAAAGCTCCAGAATGTTAAGTTACCCATCTTGTATATCTAGGACCCCAGCCCAAGGATTGTTGCCCATGAGCATGATTTTGAGTGTCTTCTTAGGGAAACAACCAATTGTCTTCTGGCTCCATCTTTGATGTTTTCTTTGCAGCAATGCACTGATGGATACGAGTGGGACCCTGTAAGACAGCAGTGCAAAGGTGAGCTGGCCTCAAGGACTCCCCATCTGAGCACAACTTTCTGTCTCCACCTCTTGTGTTGCTCTTGCTGTCCTGTTTGTATTGTATCAAAAAAGGCACGTGCATACAGTTACATGTTCCATTTTCCCGATGAAAAGATTGCTGACTTATTTTATTCCTGACCACAGATATTGATGAATGTGACATTGTCCCTGACGCTTGTAAAGGTGGAATGAAATGTGTCAACCACTATGGAGGATACCTATGCCTTCCTAAAACAGCCCAGATTATTGTCAATAATGAACAACCTCAGCTAGAAACACCAGCAGCTGAAGCAGCCTCAGGCGCAGCCACCGGGGGTGTAGCTGCTAGTAGTATGGCAACCAGTGGAGTGGTGCCTGGGGGTGGTTTTGTGGCCAGTGCTGCTGCAGTCGCAGGCCCTGAAGTACAGACTGGCCGAAATAACTTTGTCATCCGGCGGAACCCAGCTGACCCTCAGCGCATTCCCTCCAACCCTTCCCATCGGATCCAGTGTGCAGCAGGCTACGAGCAAAGCGATCACAACGTGTGCCAAGGTGAGCATGACTTACTATGCTATCAAGAAGGTTCTCACCCAAGCATGACCCTGGTAAGAACAATAGCAATGGTCATGTTTACCAAGGGCTTCCAGTGAGACACTGTGCTGAGTGCTTTGTCCACCCTGGCATATTTAATCATTGCAATAATCCTAAAAGGTAATTGTCATCAGTGTTGCTATTGTTTTCCAAGTGAGGAAACTGTGGCTGAGAAAGTTCATCAGTGGTTCCCTCCCCTCCCATAGCTGTCCCTATTTATAGTCACTTAGGAACATTTAAAACTTTCTCAATGGCCAAACCACACCCTAGCACAATTAAATAACTGTTCCCAGAGGTAGATTCCAGGCATCAGTATTTTTTAAAAGCACCCCATGTGGATCAGCATGCAGCCAAGTTTGAGAGCTGGAGGTCACACAGGTGGAAGTGCAGATCTGGCTTTCAAACCCCCGGCAGGAGGGCACCAGAGTCACAGTTGTCAGAAGTAGCAGTCAGGTGATTTGTCTGGAATTTGAAATAGTGCTCCATAAATGTCTCCCATTGGTTTCTCAAGCTTTATTGTCATTGAACTTATCAAAATACTGACGTATTTTCCTCATTCAGGAATAAAGAAACAGGGCTCCTGCCTCACTACCTTGGAGGGAGTCTCCACTGTTCACATTTACTTCTTTTAAAGCTCTCATTTGAGCACATTTTGCTTCAATCACTTGCACCATGGCACCGTCTGCCTGGGCTTTTCTGTTTATTTTCACAGAGAGTACACATCACTGTGTATTCTAGAAACAGCTGTAGACTCATGCTAGCACAGCGATAAGAATCTCAGGCTTTGAAGACATGTAGGGTATTAGCTAACTGGACTGTGCTAGGGATTTTGTTTCCCTTTTCCTTCTTAGCAAATCTTTTCAGAGCTGCCTGATAATGGAGATTGTGTTAATGAGATGGGGCTGTAGGACTCCTTTCACACTGCTAGGAGCTAACTATGTAGAACCCATGTTATGGGGCTCGTTGTCACCACCACATAAGTGCATGGCACATGCACACTGGCCAGTGGAAAGGACCCAGGAGTTCTCATCTCCAACTTCTGAGTGAGGAAGAGAACACCTTCCTTCCTCCACGCAGTTGGGGTCATGGAGCTATTTCAATCAATGGAAGGTGAATCTTCTTGTGCCCTGAGATGCGGTCCTATTTACCAGTGCTTCATTTTATCTTCTGTATAAGAGACAATAGATTTTAAATGGCTTATAGGTAAGGAAATCTATCATGCTCTGACTTTTATTATTTCATATTTTGTGTGCAAATTTTAAGTTACCCCACATCGAGCTAACCCATGCAGGGATGGTGTCACTTTTCAGAGGGAGCATCATTTGAGCATCTGTTTCGTGTTACTGTCATGAGTCAGAATTCCAATATTGATGATGAATGTTTCAGCATCTGCTTGATATTTTGATATTTAATTTAAGGATTATGTCAAGGAGATAAACTGATGAGGTTATTTTTATATATGTATTTGGGTAAATATGGATTAAAATTACCTTGAGTTTATTTAAGATATACAAACTTTTAATTGTTATTTTAAAATATAATTAAATTGGAAGATTTGGTGGTAGGTTTCCTGGAATTTAAAAATTTCGTTGGATTTTAATACTGACTTTTCTGTTTTGAGTTATTTTTAGTCTTTCAGATATTAGAAATTTAAAAGTACTTGGGAGATTAAAAAAAAAAGAAAAGAAAATGAATGGGTTATTGCCCAAAGTGGTTTATAGTCCATCATTGACACTATGGTTGAATTTAAGAACACTGCCTAAAACTGCATGAAAGAATTCTAGAATGAAATATTCAAGACTTACAATACCCATTGGTCACAGTAGAAATTATACTTTGAATAATGAAAATGAAATTCCATTTAATTTTTCTTGATTATATTTAGACTACCTTCCAAAATTACTTTTAACATATTAAGACATTTCTAATTCTGCTTTTTTGGGATTTTTCTTTTAGTTATAAACTGAAACTATTAATTACCTTCTTGTAGAATATTTAAATACAGATGTGTTGATTGTGTGCAAACAGGGTATTTCCAACCAAAACAGTTCTACATAATTGAGCCGATTTCTAAAATTTCAGATTGGGATCTGTACCATTGAAAGTAGGGTTAAAAGTTTTTTGGATGACTTAAGGCTCAAGTTGGATTTCTTCCCACCTTACAATTTTACAAAGTGCCCATAAATGTGGATTTACTTAATTGTTGATAAAGGGGGGTTATTTCATATGATAACAACAGGATAATCTGTCTAGGGAATCTGACTAACATAAGTCGAGTCACACTTGTGCCCATTTATTATTGAGCTAATCAAACATGCAGTCCAGGTTCTTCTAATTGCCTGCAGATGTATGACATTCTCATTCCAGGCCAGCAGCACAAAATAACGTTTTATAACCAATGTGAAAGTGTGGGGACCTCTGCTTAAAACAATAATGTGCTCCAAGGACCTATATTCCTGACATCATCATGCAGTTTGAGGAGCCTTCTGTTTTAATAAAGATCTCCACTCCCTTTTAAATGTTGCATACTTCTGCCCAGTAAGCCAAACACATTTACCATGGTCGGCTGGATAAGAATAGTGAATGCCTACTTATGAGTCATATTTGTACAAAAAAAAATATTTCTTTTTTCCACATATATTTTTCAACAGGTACAGTTTATCATTACATAACCTAAAACTAAGAACTTTTTTTTTTTAATGTAAGGGTTGAGATCTGTACTGTGTCTCAATCTTAAAATCAACTTTGCCTTTGAATGCTGTATACCAATCACAGAGAGTTCCTACTAATTTAAATAATATTAGATTTTTTAATGTACATCGTTTTATAAATATGTCTTTTAACCAGCTGTCTGTGTCAACAGTTTAGTGAAAACATGTTTTTATTCCTTTTCATGTATTTTTTCAAATTTCTCAGTTTTTTACAAAAAAAGGAAAGGCTTGAAATATAACATAATATCCAAAGAGTCAGACTCAACTGTTTTTTTTTTTTTTTCCAATTTTAGCCAAATGAAGGTAGGGAGAGTTTCACAAAACTAGTGTTATCATTGGCAGCTATAGAATTACATGACAATCACTTCGGTGTTACATACTTGGAGTCATGCATGGACAAAGTTTTAATAATTAGTTGTTTCCATGAGATATCACCTACCTCAAAGACAGCAGATATTTATCTATGCCAAAAGGAAGAGGTATGAATAGGGGATTTATTATAACCCATTGATGGCTTATGCTTGATTTTCTACATTGTTTTTACAAAGTCTCTATGTAATCCTTCTCAAAAGAAGGAGTGACAAATCACTAGCTCAAGTCAAGAAAAGATTTTTTTAAATCACATATAAGTTTCTAAGAGCCCATTTTTGTAGGGGAAAAAATCATTTGGGAACTGGCAAAAAAAGAAAAAGCATCAAGTGCCTAATTTGCTTAATTAACTTTCAAAAAATTAAAAGTAGGGCATTTTGCATAGCTAGTAATTAAGCCATCACCAGCTCAGTCAAGATTTACAGATATGATTACTAACATGCTAAAGAAACTGTGCCATCAAGAAATGAACTCAGTACAGATGCCTAATGAAGCTGATTATAGAGCCAAATCCAGAGAACACTTCCTGGCTTATATTATATAAGGTGTCACTGAGAGATGTGAAAACATACCCGAGGGGTTCCAACTGTCTCCATCTGCCAGGACTGACCTGGTTTGAAAACTGCAAGTTTCATGGTTCTGGAAACACCTCAAACCAAGGCAAATAGGATGGTTCATCACCCCAGCATGCGCACCCCTAGAACCAAACCCCATGCAGCTCATAGCCAAGACAGAAAGTCCTAACATTAGAGTCATTAGTTCACTTAAGGCATTGTGTCTCCAGTGAGACTATTTTTTTTAATTTGTTTTAAACTTTTCAAAGCCAAAACCAAACTTCATGGATTTTGCATTACTTAGAGCCTTCCTGTGCAGTTATTGGGATCCCACTTGCCAGTTTGCCAACAAGCAGGTCTCCACATTGTTTTAGACTTTGCACAGATGGAATACCTAGACATCAGCACCTACAGACTTAGATATATGTCATACCATAACCAGCTCATCTTTTCACAATTACACATGGCCAAATTAAGGACCAAGCTTTGATTATAAATTTTTCAGTTTGCTAAAGATTTAATTTTTTTAACTCTCAGCTGTATTTTCAATGATTTTATTTTATTTTTATCATTATTACCTGTGTCGCAGGAGCAAGTAAAACATTTTTTAAAGCATGTGTGGGCTTTTTTTTTTTTTGGCTCTTTATAGAAGTCTAAAGAAACATCAAATTATGCTCAGTTTAAAAAGAAAAAAAGCAAAAAACCTTCATTCTTGGTTACCATCCATTATGTTCTGCACATTTCTTTATAAATAGAAGGATAGCTAAAATACTGTTTTGAAAAGGAAATAAATTCAAGTTATTATCTATAAATCTACTTTAAAAAAGAGAAACTTGAACTAACATGTATAGCCTCCCAGAGAGGAGGGACACCTTTCTTTGACTTCTTTTATTTTGAATTTAAGTAGTCTCATATCCAAAAGAAGATTTACAAATTATAGTGTAATCAAGTGGCTCATCATACCTGGCATTGTCATTACCAAACAGCTTTTAAACACTGCCCTTCTGTTGATCTTACTAATGTTATTAGGGTCTCTGGTTTGTTTTGTAAGGAAATGCCTAAATTTTGTTGCATATAATTACACAGCCCAATGAATAGCTTTGATCTAAGAAAATAGACATTTTGTAGAAAGAAGGCTATAATTTTATAGAGTAAATTATGATATTAACCAAAAAAATACTTCAAGCAGAAATTAAAATGGGCATTTAACCAGCTTATAGTTCTTCATTGTTTTTAGTTGTTAACTACCTTTGAGTACCTGAAAATTCTCTAAAGCTATGTAAATGGATAGGAGTTGAGTTTTGAGGGAAAACTTCATTACTTTTTA